TCCACCCTTCTCCTCCGAGACGTGACGATCGCAGGCAACACTGCTGTCGTCTCCTTGAAACGCACCAAAACCGATCAGAGCGCTACAGGGACAAAGATAACGCTAACCGCCACCAATCGGTCCATCTGTCCAGTACGCGCCATTGCGGACTTCCACCGCCTTCGGATCAAGCAGGGCGGCATCACCACTCCCTTCTTCCGTTACCAGAACGGGAAGTTCCTAACACGTGCGACTGTCGACCGGATCCTGAAGACCCTGCTGTACGATCACCCGGACCGCGCGCGGATCAGCACACACAGCTTCCGCATCGGGGCGGCAACCGAGGCTGCGTCACAACGGCTACCGAAGGAGATGATTCAGCGCGCCGGAAGATGGAAGAGCGACTGCGTTGAGCGTTATATCCGACCTGCTACCCTAACCGGACCGACTTTCTACGCAAAGAGGGTTTGTTTGGGGGCGAAGAAATCGGGCACAGGCGGAGGGTGCCGGCAGTGAGCTGTCTGTACCGGCAGGTAAGACTCTCAGCTGGAATTGCGCACCTCCGGCCATGCCGGTGACTTTCAACTCCACAAACCGCACGCCGAGTCGCCTCACACAGCGATACCACTTCAGAATTCGCGGATAATTTAATTACTGGGTACAGCTCATCATAACCCCTGATCAAGCCTTCGCAGGTTTGGCGTTACTATGTATAACTAAGATGTTTTGAGTCGCTTAACGTCGCAGTTCTTTGTTTGTTTGTAATGTTTTTAGCTCATGCTGTATATTCCAAAGTTATATTACCTCATTTACAGGTTAAGCGAGATCCGTTGGTCATTATAGTTTTCTGGAAGAGACGGCAAAGGGTATATAAAGGTGTTCAAGGATGCTGTTAGATTGAGAGTTAGATACGAGTATAATTATTATGTATCAGAGGATCGTGATGGGTGGAGATAAGGGTAACCAGTCGGACGCAGCCGCTACGTTCATATTTAACGTATATGCACTGGTTTATATATTATACAGTTTAGCGCTTCCCCTGACCGTTCCAGGACCTTACTTATGGTCCATTTCTTAGCCAATCTTATTTTCTTAGTCCGTTTTTTAGCCGTATGTAGACTACACGGACAACAATGCAAATACCTGTCTATGGTAATCGTACGTACACAACTATAACATCAGGGCAACAACAGGTTACTTGCTTTAGTTTATTATTCGAGAAGTCACTGAGTAGTAAGGACTCCCCATAGCAATAAGTCAATAACGATACCCCATGAATAATACAATCTGCTTAATATCAAAACGATAACTCCAGCAACTGTCTTGACGGAAGAAAAAGGTTGAATAACACCTTATAAGATGGTGCATAAAGGCCTCTCAAGCGCGAAACGCTGGCAGTCGCCATGATGCTGCAAATGACCCCGCAACTCGTCCCAAGACGCTTCCAGGTTGGCCTTGGTATTCAGAGACGTCTCCAGTAAGAATCGTCATTCAGAGACGTCTCCAGTAAGAATTCCGCATACACAATCTTCTGTCCAGGGTTTCGATTGGATTGTTGCGGAAACAGTAACTGCGTAACTTCTTCACCCCAACGATTTTTCTCCGCATCCGTACAGTTTCCCGTACTGGAGCCGACGAACATGAACCGTTGGCAGTTATTTCCTTCGTGGTACTTCAGCCATGTCAGAAGTCGCTGTATATTTCGCACGACGGTGGTTGGAAGACGACTGGCATCCGTAGGGAGAACCACGTATACGGCATCAACGTGCATGCAATTGCCATTCATCCGGCGGCGCATAAACTTCAGTGTCCTCTTTACGTCCCAGTCCGTATCGCACAGCCCAACGATATCCGTCACTACAATATTTCGCTTCTGATACGTCGCCATGGAGTTGTTGTACACGATGGCTTCACCGCGGAGGAATGCAATTCCCGGTGTTGTGCTTGTAACGTTTATTTCAGCGTCACAGAGATCCAGATTGAAGAGAGCGTTGATCAGTCGCGATTTGCCGGTTCCTGTTGGTCCGACTATAACCACATTGTACGTGTCCTCGGCATAATCCAGATGCAGATCCATGTGACGGAAGACGATATGATCGGAGATAAAAGAATACATGCGCTTGCAGTTGCCCAGATCCGGCGTGTAATACAGAATATCAGTTGGTGAAGTGTTGACCAACACACGTTTGCTACCCATCAGAAACGAGATGGTGTTCCAGATGAGTATACCGTGATTATCCTCGTCCATCTGCCGACTGTCCCACTGCCCATGGAAAACATAATTCGCCACATGTTCACAGTTGCGCAGCAGCAGCGAGAAATTGCGCATTCCCAGAACATTGCGCTTACGATCACGCATGGCCTCGTCCATCTGTTTTCGCTGCGTAAAAAACACAGTACGCTTCCTTGTATTGATGTTCACCCGCGGGTGGCGAGCGTTGACACCTGGCCCGAACTCGAGGAAATGTGTCCCATTTGTCACGAACCAATGCCGCAACTCTTTAACCACGCACCAGTTGGACAAATAATCCAGATAAATATCGGTACCGTTCTTGAAGTTAGCCAACAGCGGTAAATTGGCCTCGCGAACAGCGGCATCGTACTCCACAGTGTGATGCTCCCAGGACTTCTTTTCCTCTTCGAAATGATCGTACACTTCAGCAGGAATGGACAGAATTTCAATACAATTACCCATGGCCGGCGCTCGTTGAAATCATAACGCGAATCGGGATTCCCTGCAAACACACGCCGCCTTAGACTGTGGAAAGGTTATCCGCAGCCGGCAATATGCGTCAGTTCCATAGCTTTGCCAACAAGTAGAAACCACGCCTTTTCTTTTATCTATGATACGAAATCAATAAAAATGAAAGTTTTCTGGCATATCGCGTACACAGCGACTTCTTAGCTAACAATTATGGAAACTCACTTTTTGCCGTTGTTCAATAGGTAGAACTACAGCGTATGCTACTACAGTATATGGCCAAAGTTGATAAACTAGTGTTTACAGACGTTTTCGTTGGTTAAAAAAAATAAAATTTTCTTTCATTGTAAGCACTCATACGTGAAAATTAATACTACGATAACTGGTAATCAGTGACAGACACGGATATTCTGCTGAGTCTGCTCTAGCGGCGACTGCGCTGTGGCTGTAAAGATGGACTATGTAGGTATAGCTGAAAGTGTCATGGCGTTCTTCTAGTTCAATAAATATTCCAGGATATCCTTGCAATTGTCCACTACTCGTAGTGCAGAAATGTGATGTAGGCCGCACAGCTTAAACAAAGCCATCAGAATATACCAAGCCAGGAGACGATCATCTAAGTAGGTCACGTAGCTTCGCTGACTAGAAGGAAACGCTTCGCTGACTAGAAGGAAACGCGAAACCAGCGTCCTTTGATAATTTGTGTAATTTATTCCGTAAGTAATTTTTGGTGCAAGATAGGCGGATGCGCTTGCTGTAAAAGTGATGCAAAACAGTGCGGCAGAACCGATGCGACCTTTTGAAAAAATTCGAAATGAACCAGGACCGTGATACCGCATGATCCGGAGAACTTCCTGTTCATTCCGTTCATTGCTAGTATTGTCTTTTTAAATATTAATTGAAGTTATGCGGGTGCACATCGTAACGAATGGAAATTGGACGCAAGAAATTATTGAAAATTTGTAAGCTAAGACGTTTGATTCGGCCAAAGTACTTGTACCGGAAATTCGAACACGTTATACTGTATAAGGTTACCGTTAGAAAAAATTAAAAACCTCGAATTTTTGAATTTTTATCATTTCTATATGACTGTTTTCAACCGTGACTCCGTAGACTTGTATGCTACCTCAGCGGACTGCGGAGTAAGCGTTCCTGGTCTTATCTGGTTTCTTAGCTTGGTATGTTCTAATGGCTTTGGCTTAAACCACGGATAATACTTACTGAAGAATTATTTTTATTGTCTTTTTATTTTTATTGTCTTTATTATTTTTATTGTCTTTATTTTTATTGTATTTTTATTGGTTGAGACTAGGTGCCGGTAGTGCCTCTTCGCGACAGTAAAACGGTTGCAGTAATACTGATTAGTGATTACTGAGAGCGTGTGGCTGAGTAAGCACCGTTGCGAGCATTAAGTAGCACACTAAGGAAACATAAGTGCAGACTATTCAATTCAATTCAAGTGCAGACTATTTTTGCATGCAGAAACATGCAAAAAATAGAATATAAAAACTATTAGATAGATAATAATGGTTAGTACATATAGTAGCTAACAAAATAACAGAACAGGTTGGGAAGTGACATCAGACTGCTCATAAATCAAGATGCTGAAAAGTAATTAATAATCATTAACGAAAGACACGAAAAGTGACATACATTGTAATAAGTTTTTAGATCAAGAAGTATTATTAGGCTCGTTCCATTTTTAGCGCATTCGCAAGCCTTACAAAACGATTTGAAAAATTTATAGGAACAAATGGAAGAGAAACTTCATATTCTCCATTTTATAGAGACATACTGATAGTCTGATAGAGACATCGAGCAGCCGGAAACAGAAATGACCGCATCGCCGCGTGCCGCGCAAAGGCGGCTTATTTCTTTGAATAGCTTCCTTAGCCACGTTTATATCTCGAACTAGTAAAAATTATATACAATATAGGCCAGCAAATTTACTGCTCGGTTAAAAGCACGAGTAACGGAATGCATATTGAAAGCGGATCGCTGAAATTACTGTGTAAAAACCATTAATTTTGCTTGAAACGAATAAACAGTTTTTTATAGATTACTGCGCTTGTGTTACAGACGTAATCCACTGCTAGCAGTGTGTCTGCAGCTTGAAACGTTCCCGGGTGATCTTTCAGTTTTCAACAAGTACACTAAAAAGTGTTGTTTTAACAGCGGAATGGCGTTGACAGTAAATCGTATAATTAGAGTGCTAGTTAAAAGAAATGCAGTGAACGGAATAAGATAATGGAAATGCGCTTGGTATTGTTGATTACGGTAAGCATTTCTGATTAACACAGCACAGAAACCGATTCCGGCAGCAAGGTTGACGGTCGAACGTTCTTCTAGCATCTTTTGTAAATTCTCACCAGCATGATAACATTCTGTCAGGCATGAGTGTCGCGGCTGTCCGTTCGCACAATCGCTCTGCAAATACCATGCACTACACGTTGTTCTTTCTCTGTCTGTTTAGCCTTGCACAGGATTCACATAGTATATTCCGGCGGAAAATCACCCGCGAACAATGGGATGCACTCTTCAGCCAATCCACACTTGGCACGGAATCCCGCGTTAGCGTTAACCGGCTGCATAATGATTTCCGCTTCTTCCCGGAGAACAAGGTGCAGCGGACGGTCATCACGAAGCCATGTGGACATCCCGGCGGAAATAATTCCGATCCCTTTGGATTATCCACGCAGTTCGCCACAAAGGGCAATAAAATTTCCGTTGTCGAGGTATTGGGGACTGGCAGAGCGGCTGGGGTGATTCGCCGTAGAACGCTGTTAGGAGGAATACCGCCTCCAAGCCCGAGGATTGTCGGTGGAGCGGATACGAGCACATCCGTAGCTTGTTGGCAGGTAACGAACGACAGAAAAGACTACGGTACGGTAGCGTTGTCATATCGTACACTGAAACAGCCGCTTCTTTGCGACATGTATAATAGGCACCGATGCAGGCCGGCACCTATATCGTAGGTATGTGCTTATATATTTTAAGGGCGGTAACAATCGGACGATATTCGACATCTGAAAAATTTTGTAGTCCGGAATTTTCGTTTTACAGAAACACGTTAGCTTTTCTATCGTTTTTCATAAACTCGTAATTTTATGCCAATACCAAGTAAGCCAAAGTCTGTATATATTAAAAAAACTGTGTTGTAGGCTTTCATTGTGTCGAACACAACAACCGGTGTGCGACAGACATGCGGTGGTGTAATTATTGGTAGCCAGACCATCTTAACAGGCGCCCACTGTTTGCTGGACCAAACTACAAGGTAAAAACCCGATATTTCCTACATATGTCATACGAATCAATAGGCAACAGGTGTCGCAAATGTTAAATCTTTTCAGAATTCCGTTGCCGGTAAGTAATATCCAGGTGGTCGTGGGTGCCGTGGACAGCGGCGCCCCGGCAACCAACGTCAACGATCCCACCGGTTGCGCCCAGACGTTCACTGCGGAATCAGCCAGAATGCACCCGCAGTATAACGACGCGGTTAACGACAACGACGTCGGCATTATCACGCTGAGCACCGCCATTAACGTCGACCAGAAGCCGTGTACCTGCACCTTGTGCTTCAGCACACGCCAGCCGGCAACCGGAGAGACATGCGCGGTGACCGGTTACGGTTTTGAGACGTTTGATTTTACTAGTACGTACGTTAGACGTGTTGCAGGTAGCTTGTGCGTTTCCTTTGCCGGGCCCTAAAATCAATGATATTTTGCGATTATATCTACACAATTGTTGCAGCGCCTCGAAATCCGATTCCGTTGAAATGGGTGGCCCAGACAGTTGTAAATCAGAGCGACACGAACATCTGTCCGGTATTCGTTAACAGCGCCGGAACAACCACCAACGTGACACAAAACATTTGTACCAAGAGTCCAGTTGGTCAAGATCCCTGCCTTGGAGACGACGGTTCGTCGGCAAAATACAGTATTTCTAGGTTTGATGATAACACTTTTACGGGTATTAAGCCATTTGCCTGTTTGCTGAATATTAAGGCAGTTCTGAGTGCGGCCGGAAACTGAAGGCTTCATGACATAACCAATACTAATATTGTTTATGTTTACAGGAGGTGCTCTCGTCTGCTGGGATCCGACCAACAGTGTCCACTATTTAGCGGGACTCATTGCTTTTGGTTCGGAGACCTGCGCGCAAGGCTTCGGTGACCAGAACGTCAAAATAGCACTGTATCTGCAATGGATCGCTGACAATTCTCTATCCGGTGATGTCAATCTATCCCCGGGTACCACTGTCACCACCGTCCCTCCGATAACAACCACCACCCCCGCCACCGTCCCGGTCACAGTTCCCACGGGCACGACGGAAGCCTGCGGTATTCCCGGCAATGGCCAGATTGACCCATTCGGTATCGTCAGTTTACCTCGCATGTCCTTGGCTCCGTTCGATGAATTAAACCGGTTCCGCTCCGTCCGCCGTCGGCAGGGCCGTGATGTCGAAGCTGTCCTGGAGCCCCGCATTATCGGGGGAACAGACAGCACAGCCTCGGTGGTGTGTTGGCAGGCGTTTGTTGTAGTCGATCAGGGCAACGGACAGGAGATCACTTGCGGAGGGGTCATCGTCGGATCGCGCACCATCCTCACGTCCGGCACGTGCATGGTGACCTCCAGCGGCGTGCCCATCTCCACTGCGTCGGCGTACACGGTGACCGTGGGAGCAGTCGACAATAACGCTCCGGCTTCGAATGCGCAGGACACTACCGGGTGTGCGCAGACGTTTACTGTGCAAAGCGTTACGCTGCACCCGGGATATGTCTTCGCCACGGATGATAATGATATCGGTAAGCACGATTTCGGTCTTGGTATGCATTTTATGTAGGAGAGTATACCTCTTTTGCCATGTAAGACTGTTTAAGGCGCCATTCATTTACTCCGGGTTCATATAAACGTACGCTTCTGGAAAGTTAAGCATTATAGCGAAAGGCAACGCATTTAGCGTAAAGCCGGTTTATCGTTGGGCTCCATTCCTCGTCTGCTTTGACGTTGAAATTTTGGTCGCCCGGTTATCGGTCTGACGGCAGAGAACGATGTGCTTAAGTCCTGCATTACAACTTCTAAAAATTTTCTGAATATGTTGTTGCCTATTGCCTACCTATGCAATTTTCTTTGCTTGAAGGTATCCTTACGCTATCAAGCGCCATTGACCTTGCAAACAAACCGTGCGCGTGCGCCATATGCTTGACAAACCGCGTTCCGACCATCAGCGAGACATGTGTCATGAGTGGCTACGGAGTCGAAACCAATGGAAACCGTAAGCGATCATTAGATCGATTCTGCTGTAATGAAATCCAGGCAGGATCACCGGTTATTTGTTTGCAGCCATCCGTAACGCAATACCCTTGAAATGGGTCACACAAAAAATCGTCCCACAATCAAGCAGCTGCTCCGTGTTCTGCGCGGGAAGCACGTGTACCAATGTCAGCAATTACCTGTAAGATTTTGGCGACAGTATCTGATAACTGTTTTACTATTGTTATTAGTATCGTATCGGTTGATTATCGGTGTTGTTGCGTTGCAGTTGCAGCCAAGGGGCGACCGGCCAGGATCAGTGTATCGGTGACAATGGCGGACCGTTGGCTTGCTACGACCCCACGCGTAACAACTACTATTTAGCCGGCGTTATTGCGTTCACCACGGAGACCTGCGGAACCGGTCAGGGCGGACAGAGCGCGGAAGTAGCACTGTATTTGCCGTGGATCGTGGCCAATGCGCTGCCGGGCGATGTGCAAGTGGAAAGCGGTTCGGTAACCGTCCCGACCATCCCAACAATTCCAACTGTGCCAACAATTCCAACGGTCCCAACTGTGCCCACATTGCCGACTCTCCCACCAGTGGGAACGACAACATACAACTATTTCTACAATAATATGGGCTAACGAAAGGAGAGAAAAAATATGTTGTATCTAAAAGGACTACTCGGGCAGTGTGCCTAAACCTACCGATATGTTACTATTTCTGTAAGCTATTTTAAATGATAATTTGTATTTTTTTGATAGAATTGCCTATCTTGTTGTCTCAGATCAAAAAATAAAATTTCACATAATATTGCAACGGCAACTTCTAAGCTGCCACTAGTGGAGTGGTAGACGCTACCAAGCCTAACCTATTTTTATCCTATATTGCATGTAGTCGTACATCTGTAACATCCGATGTGCGATCGTTGTGTTGTACTCGTATATTCCGGTAATGGTTAAAAGCCGGGTGCAGCCGGAATTAAGCAATCATTAGTTGCACCAAGCCGCAGAACATCGGCGGCTCTCGCTCTCCCATCTTATTAAAGTCTATTTCATTTCATACTATGTATTCGTATCTCTTTACTAGTATATTGCATATACTCATAGTGTTACGTAAAGTAATGTTAGCAGCACGGGTGCTAACAGGAGTGGGTTACACACCCGTACCACGATAAAACGAGTTTTGATGGTTCGTCGGTGACCGTCGATGATGTTACGAGTTAGCAAATTACCCAAAAGTCAGTTATGCAATTGCGAACATGTTAACCGATACCGGCGCGATTGTCAAAGTGCACAAACATTTTTAATCAGCTGAAAAGTCATTGAGGAAAAGCAAGGGCAAGGGCAAGAGCAAGAGCAGGAATGATTAATTTTCAGAACATTCAGACAATCTCAGAAGTCTAGAAAATCCACGTTAGAACTGGTCAGTTCGTACAAGTACACATTCTGATGTTTCCGGTGGAACTAGCACCAATGAGATGTACATCATCACTACAGATCTCATTTGAGATCTCATTTGTACGGCTACAATATCCACTTTGGAAGAGATACGAGTACATGTACTACATTTGTAAAATAAAGTTGTCCCAGCGTCATCTCTCTAGAGATTTACGATGTCTGCGGTTATTACCAAATTTACATACGGTAATACGACTGAGAATCGGGCCAGTGCGTCATCAGATTTTATACTGGATGGAGATAGTTAGTTTTATATATCCTTCTGTATTGTTGGCATGCACATACAGATACGCCCTTTTCGGGTGCAATTTTGCATTAATGTTTAATCCTTTATGCAAGGTCACGCTTAAATATCAAACAAAATCTTATAAACGACAACCCGTATTTGAAATATTCATGTGTCCGACAATTTAAGCGTATACTCGGTATGTACAAACATGTATGTTTTCGTGTCATGTGCACGTGATACCGACTGACCACATTAATAACAATTTCACTACATCGTAGCACATATTCGCTCTCCTTGCTTATTGTTAGCATTCGATCAAACTCGAGCACGCTACACTCCAGTAATAATTTTTATTTCATTTCATCGTTTGAGCTTAATACGTGATTCCCTTATAAGTATGTGGGATCCTTTTGCTCTTGCCTTTGGCTCTTTAATTACTCTAGTATTAGAGGTTAAGCTACTTACAGCGACTGCCGGATTATGTTGCAACTTGCAAGGAAATTGAAGAATCAAAAATCCAGAATCAGAAACGACAGAAACGGCGCTCAGAATCACCGATACTGTAGCTCCATGTCAGTGCACGTTTGCGCCCCCACGCCATTTTGATCTGGTGGTGTGGATGCACGTCAGCACAGCCGCCTCCGGATGCTGTCAGCCTATTTCATTATTAAGGTATGTACAGATACATCGTATACTGCAACCACCTTTTTTCTTCTCAAGACTTGCATCGGATTATCACTTGTGCAAGCGTGGGACATAACAGCGGAAATCTTCTTGAAAAGACAAGTTTCTCCGTTTCCTGGTAAAGGTATTGCCATGGTTTGATAGATGTGTGTATTGCCATGGTTTGATAGATGTTCTCCATTTATTCGAACATACTTTCTTCTTTAGTTATTGGTTTCGAAGATTTTTTTCTATTTCTGCTTCGAGGGAGGTCTGAGGGGATCGTATCACAACTTGTGTGTAGCCTGATCTTAACTGCGTTCACCTTTCGCTGAGTGATAGCGAAAACATCGGATCTGCTTAACCGTTCGTTTCTGCTAACATTTTTTCTATGGTGAGCGGATTTCTTTTACAAAAATTTATGAAAACACCTTTTCCTGCTGTGCAAAGCGTACCCGGTACATAAACGGTGGTTCACATAAGTAGTAATATGGATGCATATCATGGAAAGGATAATGCGACAGTTCTCGTCAACGCAACGTTAATCCACTCCTTTCAACCCAGTTGGACTCCATTAATAATCGCACAACTTCTTGTCATTTGCGCCGCGGCCCTGTTCAACTTTCTACTGCTTACGCTACAATTTCTCCCGCAAACCCAAGTGACTGCATTTACCGTCTATCTCATCGCCATTTCCCTGGGTCACATTGCGTCTGCATCCCAGCTGGTTACAAGACCTGCGGGCTTGATCCACTATATTACCGGAGTCTGGCCAGGAGGTCACATTCTCTGTGCAATCAATGCCTATTTCCACACGGTGCCCAGTATCATTCCGACACTGCTGCATGTCCTCATCGCTCTGAATCGTCTATGGGCCGTCAGATACCCGGTATCGTACCGTCAGCGCCACAACAGAAAGATAGCTATTCTACTGTGCCTCGGGGTGGTGGGCTACGTCCACGTTATTAAGCTCCCCGTCGTTTTCGTGGATTTCCTACGTAATCGTCCAGTACAAGAACCGACGCGTTGCAAAGCGATGATCGAAGATAGAATAGAATGGCAACTGGCCGATTTCTTCCTCCACCGTGCAATTCCTCTTGTGATAATTGTTACTATTTACATCTACGTTATGATTAAGCGCTGGGAGAGAAGACGAGTCGGAGGACAAGAGGAATTTTATCAATCAGCGGATTATGTCGCACCCGTTAAACCAGCGATTGCGGAAGAACCCGCGGTTAATAAAGCGCTCGTTATGCCGGCTTCGAGGGAGGACGGCAGGCGACGTAAGGTTCGGCCGTACGTGGTTTTAACGTTGACTTCCATCAGTGTGCTGTTTTGCTGGACGCCCTCTGATATTTACTGGGCGTTGGTGTTCCTGCGTGTGCCACCACCCAGCTGGGTACTAAGTGTGACAACGTTATCTTATACCGTACAAATGCTATTTGATCCCTTGATGTGGCTGGTCAGCAGTCAGGTATCACGCAAGCTACCTGCTGTCGCGTAGACGGGTCAAGGTCGTGGGTCTATCAGCGTTTCCAATGTTTATATGTCGTGTTTGCTTAGTGTTTCCTATGTTTCCAATTTTCCAGCGCTTTTAGGCAGTATATGCGCTGAAGATTTACGGAATGGAATCCACTCAGTAGACTTTGATCCACCGCTGTTGAAGTTTTAATAAACAGGACGAGCAAATTCAATACTTCGACATCGGTCGCATTCCGGACATTTTATGGATTCGCGTACCACAAATCAGAGAACCGATCCATCCGGCGATGTTGCCATTAGAAAAATTGCTAATTTTTATTATCTCGTGTTCAAGCCTGTATACAAACAATAATTATTACGTGATCAAATTTTTTAAGTTTTTGTCAAGTGGAACAACGCGGATGATACCGTGTCTTTGGTGTCCGGTACGCCAAATCCATATTGCGAAAACGCCCCGAATACAAACCGCATCGGAGAAGGTTATTTATTTGTTAGTGCAACTGCTCGGGTCGGATTAGTTAATATTTAAGCCGAGGGTGTATATTCGAATCGCCACATCCTGAACCACCGACTATATCAGCCACGTGAGCCAAATGGTAATTTCAGCTTCAGTTGCGTCTTTCTTTTTTTACGGGGCGATTTTATTACATCTCTAACCGAAGCCTGGAGGTCGGTGTTTTCTGGAATGCGCCGACGCTTTACTGACCCGTCTTATGACACATCATTTTAGGCCGAAAAAATTTTTATCCGTCGATTTTTTTGGAACAGCAGATCGATCATCATCTACAAGTTTCGGAATGACCATCTGTTGTACACCGACGAATTGCTGACGATGTTTTGTTCACCGACAAAAAACTTTCCACCCACAAAAGAGAAGTCCGGTATCTAAGACACTCTAAGAAACTCACTAATAAGTCCGTTACCTAAGACACTCTAAGAAACTCACTAATAAGTCCGGTACCTAAGACACTCCAAAAAACTCACTAATGGTAAGAAACCTAAAGAACGGTAAGAACTGCCAAGTGAGCATCGTTTGAACAAAATGGTTTTGGAAGAGCGCCACCGTCTGAAAATTTTTTCGTGTCCCCGCTCACAAAACATAAAATCTTGTGCCATTTCATCCCTCTTTAAAACTTTTTTAACATTTTAACTGTTTTATTTAGCAAAACACGTTTTCTTTTCGGTAGAAAAATTTATGGACATGTTGCATGCGCTGAACGAGTTATGCAGTCATGACACATTGTGATTCTTCCAAAAATGCCGATTTTTTTGTATTTTCGAGTATTTTCGGATAAAATGTTAACAGGGTGTACCCAGAAAATGCAGGTTTAAATTTAAAAGCTAACATACGTCACTTCAGAAACATACTGAACCAGGGCTTTCAGAGCTGGTTAGAAATTTGCTCTCAAAACGTTGTTTGCCGGTTTCATGAGAATTACTGTTCGAGTTTCTACATTCAGCGCACGAGCAACACGTGCTAGAATCTGCGTTCCTTACGTCCGAGCAACCCTCATCAGCTTTATAAATAAGCTCTGTTAGTGGAATAGCACTTTTTAGTTTAAATCGTAATTTAGATTTCGCTCTGACATCAGAACCCAGCCAGTTTTATAAAACAACTATAAAAAATTTCAGCCGTATGGTAGTTTTGACTTCACTTAACGCCATGTTGTTAAAAGCAATGCTCTTTCATGAAACTGATAATACATAAGTGTTGAGGGATTCACGTGCAGGCACCAACTATCAAGCATACCATTGATCCAGTTTCGTAATAAGTACCATAGCTGTTGCTGTACTGTAATCCCACAGCATTTCTCCGGATATTATCAAAGCGTATCTTCCGGGATTATGTTTCGATCCCGTTTATTCTGAATCGAAACCCGAGATCTACATAGATTTCCGGTACAGACTCTTCCAGGAAATGCTTATATCGAGTTAAGCGGGATGTGCGCACTGTGGCGAGAATGCGTGCGCCGTACCGGAAAACGTATGGCGGGGCAAACGTTATGTTATTTTTATTAATACGTCATTTTCATTTCATATTTATTTTCATCTTATTTGTGGGTTTTAAACAAGTGTTATGAATCCTGTTTCCACGAAAACAACATTGTGTCTGCTACACAATACATAAGTATTTTTCTGAAAGTCTCGCTTCACGGCAGTTTTCGTGCTCTTGTTTATTAGAACCAGCATAATGTTTGTTACTCGCCAGCTGTTTATTTGCTCCAGAATCGATTGCTCCACTTCCCGGTTTCTTATACAGTGCATAATGTACAGCTGCCACCTGTCAGCTCAACGGCGCCTGCTCATGATTATCATTGATTTTCTATTACCGTTTATTTTATCCATCGCAATATATCAGAGTGGCCGCAGTAATTGTCCTTACTGTTATTGATCGGCCTTTGAAACAAAGCAGTTAATCTTACAGAGACGCTTCCGCTACACCTTCGTGGAATCGCAATCTGCAAATTATTTTCATTTTTTATGTGCAGACAACACTTTCCAATCCTTACAATGCATCAGGAAAATCATCACTGTCTATGTTCTCTACCTAGGAAGTACTCGTAATAAAAGCCGATTTTTAACGGTTCACAGAGAAATCACTGTTAATCATTTCACCAGCATGACACGACCAATTTTATTAGGCTAGCGAGAGCGTTAAGGAGTGACTGAGATGCATCTGTACAATCAACTGCCGGCAGCCGGCAAACCTATCGGCTCAATACAAAGGTCAACCTGGCTGCTCTCTTATTGTCGGCCCGCGCCGTGTACGTATCAATTATCCAGGCGGAATAATCACACAGGCTGTATGCGCTCCCAGCGGGTCAATATGTCTATAAGATCAGGATAAAACGATTCCAAAGAGAAACGCTGACTGTTCATTACCGACACACACACAGGTGTGTATTCTCTGGGGTTCATTTTTCAATAGCGTGTGTGGTGCGCGCGCGTGCCCTTCTCCGCGGAGCGCAGACAACGGCTGCATGTCCGTCTTACGTAATTGATTTCCTATCCGATGCGACGGGTTATCTCGTTAATCACCGTCACAGTATCCAAATTGTCGCGGTTTCTACATGCAGCGGGCAAATGACCGCGCTACACTGTACGGTAGTACTGTGGATACTGTTGCCGTATTTGCAGAAGATTTCGGGGAAGAATTTAACGGTGTGTACCGTCATTGAATCGGGGAATGATCAACTGGTATATAATTATCAGCGGGCGGCCGCGGCTATCGCCATGGCTATGGAGTTCGCCAACGAGCAGATCCTGCCAGCGGGGATCAGATTGGTCTTGAATTATAAAGATGGGGGAAAAGTGTGCGGTGCCAACAATATGGCCATTAAACGGGCACTGGACTGGATGCGCGAAGGTGTCGTATGCAGTGTTTACCTGGGACCAGGTATATACACCATTCATTATTGTCTCTACTGTACAACTTTTTTGTTTGTTTTATTAGCGTAGTAGTATTTTATTAGTATGTAGCAGAAATACTGGATTCAGTGAGGCTGGATTTGAAACAAGGCATCTTGTTTATTGAAAAAAAGAGTTTTTATTTTCCTTTTGTTTCTTCGTAACAGTTACGCGCTGTGTTGAAACAAATTTGCTGACGAAGTAGAACAGTTCAGCAAAGAACTGTTCTGCTTAGTGTTTATATTATTATCATTAAAGCTATCTTTTGCTACTTCCCTGGAATCGGTAGAGTACTTGCGTTGTATACTTATATATAAATACTGGAGTAATGTTTTTACAAAAATACATATATGGTATACCGCAGTATTATACTGCCATGTTTGAAGCCTTGTGGAGTTGTGGGTATATTCCTGCTCGCTTTACAAAAATATAATCCCATAAAAAGCGATCAATACTAACGGGAAAATTTCCTAATTACCATTTATCTGTACTGGGTGTTCTTTCCCGCGTAATTATTTTTCTTTCATGTGATTACTTCCTGAATTCCAGTTGCGGTGTAAACTGGGTATTGATGTCAAAGTAAAGATGTGTCTCTATTCAGTGTCTTCGGTTCGGTGGATTAGGGTGTAGTGTACCTACTCGTATTACAATATGTATACTTCCTGATTATCACTGGTAAGTAAAATCAGCCATTTATAACTATACATTTAGGATATTGATGGGTGCATCATTTTAATATATATTCCACAAAGCCACCTAAATCTTCTGAAAATTAAATCCTATTGATGGAACAACAGGGATGGTAACGTTAAACGCATGATCCAAAGGATCTCAGCGGCATTAAAATAATGCCGTTTGTCTATCTGAGAAATTTATAGCTGCATTATCCGCTTTTAACCACGTTGTGCGGTTAAATATATTTTTGAATCTATAAATGATAAAAGCAGAGCTGGAGCATGCCGATGTCGATATCCTTTCTGCTAATTTCTTTATCCATTCAAACCGCGCACAAAAACAGAAGAGAGAAGCAGCTTACCAAACCAATCGACCTCGTAGGACGTGCGTAATTAGCTCATTTTAGAGTGCTTCAAGTTTGTACCAGTAAAAAGATTTTGCGGTAAGAGTACGCAGTCTTTTTCACTCTCCCATCAAGCATACTTCTGATCAGTTGCATCGTCCCAAAGAACCTAACTGCAGTCCAGTGGTCCATATGTACGAGGCCTTATTTAATTGCAGGTTGTGATCGCGCCGTGGCGGATCTGTACAACATCGCCGCGTACCAGAACATCCCGCTCATCGGCGTTCCTGCGTCCAACGTGGTCGGGTTAACGAAGCTCACGCACGACCAGATTCCGCTGCTCATCCGGCCGGCATACTCCTTCACGGACATTGCCCTAATGATCACTACTTTCCTGGACCAGTTTAATTACACGCACACGACGATCCTGACCGATCTGTCCAATGCCTTTTACGCCGATATCAGCGAGATGCTGACCGGACACTTTCACGATGTCCGACCGGACCTGTACGAGACGGCCTGCATGCATACCTTCAAGAGTAATGAGGATAAAGCGGACAGGTACGATACGCTGCTAGAGGAAGCCCAACTGTGCTCCAGAGGTAAGTGATGTTAAAGATATATTTTCATCGATCCACGGAATATGTGATTGATTTAATTGCTACTTTATTTCTTTAGTGATCCTGCTCCTGGGTAATTCGTCCATCATCAGACAATTGATGGTAACGTTGAAAAACAATAATCCATAAATGGAAGATCAAGAAATAAAATTTTCCACAGCCTTCAAACACTCGAATATTTCATAAGGTTAAAACACGAGTCGAAGCAAATATCTGTAAGCTATAAAATACAATAGTCAGATATTGATTAAATTAAACTTATTCAAGCGAAAATTCGAAAACTAGAGTAATGGATTTGTTTAAACTCATTTCATTTTTTAGATTTGAAGTTACGTTTTAAAAATAATGTCTGAAACGCACCATATTTTTTACCAAAGTGTGTTGATTTATAGCTCGAAGCTCGTAGACTCCAGATGACCAACGGCGATTACGTAAGTCCTGTCCTTCTAATCGTGCGCTAATTGTGTAAACTTTCTTGCTGAGCAGATCTTACCAATTAGGTCTACATTGCGATTGAGTTGTTTAAAAGCAATTTTTGGGGTGATTTCACATGGAGATTTAACGATCCATTAGACCGGGTAAGAGTACACCCAAGCAGAAATTTGTAAGCCAGTAAATTAGCTTTATTCGTCGGGGTATTACTTACAGGACACACAACTGGCCTACCGCTCCTTAGCAATTATTGGACTGTACGAAGAAAGCAATCTGGACTTTGTAGAATTCCAAAAGGAAGTCAAAAGGCGGGCGCGATCGCAGTACGGCTACAATTACGGCGCCTTTGAACAGGTCACAACTGCAGCATTAGCACCCAGATTACGTCCACTAAGAGCGCTTGACGGTAACCTTTACAGGTTGATCCAATCGTTGTCAGCTATTACGATGCGGTGATATTATACGGAAACGCCGTGGCGTCTGTGTTGTATGCTAACGGCAGCTTATCGGATGGCAAGCAGCTAGCCAGTGCTATGAAGAACGTGTCTTTTAAAGGACCACTGGGCTATTCCATTCACATGAACGGTCATGGTGACCGCACCCGCGCGTACTCCATCAAGGACCTCAGCCGCGATACTGAAAAATTTGAGGTTGGTTCTCCAATTTTTTTCCGTTGCAATTTTTGCTATCAAGCGTATCATTTCGCGCAGAATGTCATCAGGATCGACTACGGTACGCAGGAATTAACATGGTTCGGGAAATTTGAATGGCCGGGCGGCAGTCTTCCGCCAGATCGACCGTTCTGCGGGTTCGACGGAAAAGCGGCGGTTTGTCAACAGTGTAAGCCAGTGGATTCCAAATCCGTACACTGCATCGCGTGATGAATTTGTATGATTTCTAGCGTCTGCGATGAGTCCGGGTGGCATTGCCGGCATCGCTATCGGTTGTGTGCTGTTTATGGCAATATTATTGGGAGCAACGTATTTTGTGCTACGGTAAGCTAATCAAACAATATGCGTTTGTTTATCCTTATGACTGTCATTGACCTGGGCTGTGGTGTTCTGCAGCAGCAGCATGGCATTTACCGATCCGTACTGGTGGCGAATCCGTACCAACGACGTGCTGCTCTTCGGGGTGGCTAATGCCACCGAAATGTCACGGGCTAGTTTGCAGGTCTGTGTCACTTCCGCTCTGCCAAGTTTCCCGACACCCGCACACAGGGTTTACGAGAAAATCCATCAATACGGCACAGGAAGTACAAAATGTAATTACAGAAGTCGGCCATTAGTTCGAAAGATATTTCCAGTAAACACTCCAGGACCACCATGATGTCCCAACATCCATATGGGATCCCGGCGACATACGATGGGATTGCTATATCCTTGCTGGAGTTGCCGAAGAAGCAGTATCGGCCGTCAAATCTGATGATTCAGCAAATGAACGAGGCAACGGCCAGATTAATGAGCACAAAAGAGGCATTTGCTTGAATATTGTGGTTTTGTGCAGATTCGCTTGCTGTCTCACCAAAACCTGCATCGTTTTGTCGGTTTGTGCTTGGACGAGCAGAACTTTGTGGATTTTATTGCCAATGAATTGTGCTCAAAAGGAACTTTGGACGATGTGCTGGATGATGAACACATCAAGTTGGATTGGTCGTTCAAGCATTCGCTTATACGCGATATTAGTGAGGTAACTTATTTTCGGTAGTTTGCCTTTTCAGTCTTTCGGTAGCTTATTTTTGGTCTTTCTCAAAGTCATGCGGGCAGACACTACGTGTTTTTCTGCAGGGAATGCAGTATCTCCACAATTCCAGTGTTCAGTCACACGGTCACTTGTCCGCTCTGACCTGCGCAGTAGACAGTCGCTTTATGGTTAAGGTCACATCGTATGGCCTAACGGGATTTACCGATCCTAAAGAACTCGTCGTGCCGCAGCCATCAGATACGGAGCGGGATTTTGCTCGATTGTTTTGGAGGGCGCCCGAATTTCTACGTTATACGATGCCAATGAAAGGTTCACAGGTATGTACATTATAATTACTGTTATTCTTGCCCCAGCAATCAGTTTTGTTTTAACAACTTCCGTTATCATTTGCAGAAAGGTGAGACATTCGAGCAAGCTTTATTGCGTTGTGAATGGTTTGCTAACAAGAAGAGCCTGCAGGCGATGTGTACAGTTTTGCCATCATTCTCCAACAAATCGTTCTGCGAAGTAGTCCGTTTTCATCGGCCACCCAGGATGCGGCGACGACTGTCGCGCAGTTTTCGCCAAAAGAAATTATCATGGAGGTACATCGAGGCCATACACTGTTCGGTTGATAGTAGAGCATTTTTGACAAACACTGATTTTGCTTGAAGGTCAAGCAAGGCAGTATACCTCCCTTCCGACCAATGGTCCCCAAAACGGCCTGCTCGATTGAGCTTTACCAGCTGATGGAACAGTGTTGGTCGGAGCACCCGCTCGAACGGCCGACATTCTCCAAAATACGAGAAACCATTAAAAAGATTGCCGGTTCTGATAGCGGGAATATTGTGGAACATTTGCTCAACAGAATGGAACAGTATGCCAATAGTTTAGAAGCCCAGGTCGTGGAAAAAACACAGCAGTTCATGGAAGAGAAACGACGATCGGAAGAACTGCTTTGCCAGCTCTTGCCAAAGTACGTGTTTTTGCGGCAGCTATGTTGACAAATTCGGATATCTGCAACCACTTACTACACGCTCAAAAGAAAACTGAATAAACTCGAACGAATTCTGTAATACAGAAGCGTCGCTGCAGCGTTGACTAAAGGTGAAAGCATCGGTCCTGAATCATTCGAAAGCGTCACCATCTACTTTAGCGACATTGTCCACTTCACAACCATCTCCGCGTCCATTTCGCCGATGGACGTGGTGACGCTGTTAAACAATTTATACACATTATTTGACAGCATACTGGAGCATTTTGATGTGTACAAAGTGGAAACCATTGGTGATGCTTACATGGTAGGAAATCCTTTAGGAAAACAGTTGAATATTCAAATGAAATTTTTCTAAACGGACTCAGCAGATTCTGTACGATCTTACATGTGCTTAGGTTGCTAGCGGTCTTCCGATCCGCAACGGAAATAAACACGCCGGAGAGATCGCCAGCGTGGCGCTGCGCATCCAAGCCGGGATTGGGGCCTTCGTTATACCCAGTCGACCACACGAGAAACTTCAAGTGCGCATTGGAATGCACTCAGGTAAAATGGGAATGGCACAAGTTTTGTATCTTTTTCTCTTCCTGATGCACTCTTTTCCCTAAGGACCCTGTGTTGCTGGAATCGTCGGACTAAAGATGCCTCGATACTGCTTGTAAGTCTGTTTTACGCTGGAAGTAAGCAACCAGTACACTGCATGACGTGGTGAATGTTGATCTACAGATTTGGTGATACCGTCAACACGCTTCGCGGATGGAAACCACAGGAGAGCGTACGCATTATTTACAGTTCCTGCATCTTCTCTGGCTAACATAACTTCTTTTTTCTTTTATTTCGTAGCAATGAAGATACAGATGTCCGAGCAGAGTCATGAGTTGCTAAACGACATCGGTGGTTACATCATGCAAGAGCGTGGCGAAATCGTGGTCAAGGTCTGCCGCCTAGAGTTTTCGTACGATCTCGCTGAACAAGTAACGCATACAAAGCCCTTGCTCGGTTACAGGGTAAGGGCACGATGACGACGTACTGGCTGTTAAGCAAACTGGGATCCGCTGAGCGACTGTAAAGCCATAGCCAATAGCTTCCGGGTGCTTCTGATACCCGAACCAGTTCTTCCGCATTTGCACGCCCAAGAACGCACCAAACATATCCGCCATCCACGAAATTTTAAGTAATAGTTCTGGTAGCGACGTAAGTCAGATTATTGTCTGTGAAAGAATGGCATGTTAATCGTAATGTGCGTACGTATTCAGTTAAAGGTCAATCTGATTTCGCATCCTTAAGTATTGGTTACATCGAATTATGAGCGATTCGTTGATGGCGGCAGCAATAGTGTACATGGTATTGCATAATAATTTTGAGTCAAACGAAAAGGTTGCACATGATCTTATCAGATGGCGCTGGTTAAGCGCGCATCGTCCATCGACGGAGGAGCAAAACGAACCCGGATGTAGGCTTTAATGCCGAAATCTGAACACACACCGCGCTTGCGCGCAAGCCAAACTAACTGTTCTCTGTAGGCAGCGCAGCTGCCTTACAGAGCCATCAAAACGCATGAAAATGCCCAGACAGGAAAAACCCAAAACCAACCAATGACAGAAGGGCTGAATCATAAGCCCGCCCTGACATCCCTGTACGGTCTAACACTGAGCTCCTGCGAAGTGCAGGTAAATGGCGTGATGCGCCGTAAAGAACAGTGGATACAGGGACCGGTACGGTCCCTGTACTATGTATAATAGACTGTACTACCGGGTGGCTCGGTTCCAGTTCGGTCGGCTCACGTGGTCCGGTATGGGATCTGGTTCAGTCAGGTTTGGTCCGGCTCGGTCCAGGTTTGGTCGGCCTGGATCAGGTTCGGTTTAGGAGTGGTTCTCGGTCGGTTTGGCTCGGGTTCGGTCGGTCTGGTTCGGCTTCACGCGGTCCAGTGCCTAGGTCAACGCACTGTCGCGACAGAATCCAGGGTCGGATGCGGAAATCGGTAGATTCCGCATTTTATCCGTCTGGAGAAAGGTCACCGTCTGGGAAAATCTCGCAGGGTTTGGGGCACAGGTACGGCCATGACCCTGCAAACACAAAATTACGCTGCTCCGGTGGGTAATTCCACTGCTCCGCCGGGGAAAGGTCGCTGTCCCAGGTAAGGCGGGCAGGGTTTTGGTGGGGTGAATTTCTCGGCGTGGTAATGGTGGTCGATCCGGCCGTGGGGATCGGGGTTGGCGTGGCTGTTGGTGGTGGTGAAGGGTCCGCAGGTTTCCTGCTGGTCCGGGTTCCGTCCACCGTCGGCATCCGTCATCGGTTCGGTGTGGCTGTGGGTTTGTCCGTCCATCGCTGCCCTTCTGGCTTGGCGACATCTCCATCCCCTTCTGGGAGAGGCAGTTCCTCCGCGTTCTGCGGGAGTGACGGCACAGCTCCGGCGACTGAGGGGAAATCCGGGGGAGCGGGATGAGCTCCGTACCCGGGGGTGGCACAGGACGCGATCACGCAATCTGGTCCACAACTCAGAGGTGGCCCGTGAGCGGGGCAAGCCCGCTGTGTAGCACACGATCGGCACCGTGGTCTGCTACCATATCAGATGGCGCTGGTTAAGCGCGCATCGTCCATCGACGGAGGAGCAAAACGAACCCGGATGTAGGCTTTAATGCCGAAATCTGAACACACACCGCGCTTGCGCGCAAGCCAAAAACCAACTGGTCTCTGTAGGCAGCGCAGCTGCCTTACAGAGCCATCAAAACGCATGAAAATGCCCAGACAGGAAAAAACCCAAACCAACCAATGACAGAAGGGCTGAATCATAAGCCCGCCCTGACAATCTTCCTTCTGAAATGGCACTTTGATGGCGACAAAAACCTTTAAGGTACATATCTAGTCTACTAAGAACTGCTTCATGCAGTTGTTTTCACACAAAGTAAAAGCTCAGAAAATAATTAAATGTATAACGGAAGGAACCGCAAAATGCCAGAACATTACGCATGACTACTTGTTTCGCGCGGTGGGCGTCGAGACGGTGGGACCATTTGGACCGGAAGCATCTCGGATGTACAGTAACTGGGCATGATGATACGTCAGGAAACAGATGAGATACGTGCAAAAAGAGTATCCGCTCCAGCATCGAAATTCAACGGGGAACGCGGCTGCCATTCTGAGAACCGCACTAGCTCCGGCTAATTTATCTTTAGATCAGATGTTCCCTGTAATTCGGCCGCCAGTTTCCGCTGTTTATTGATGCTATGTGGTTTTGTTTGTTTGTTTGTTTGTTTAAATGAGCTTAATGTCTACAACAATCAGGGATGTCCTGCACGAGGTCATAGACTAACATGGGAGATAAGGCTATCGCATTACGAAAGCCTTACATTTAAAAACATCACAAATATAGACAACATACAGTTTTACAGTAAACAGTAATGATCAACATGAAGTTGAAGGAAACGCTAGTCCATTTCAAATCCGCCCATTTAACCGTATCCAGGCAAGAATCAAAACTGTTAATGCGGTTGTATGATTCATGGGGCAGTCTGATCTCATTCCACAAGTGCGCCATTAGATAGGCAAGCTCCGTTCGCTGATGAACTTCCGTCCGTCCGAGGCGCACGTGTCCACGGGTTCCACTGCGTAGGGATGTTCATCAAGGACGTTATCTGACGTGTTCTGCCTGCAATACAAACGGCGGCAGCACCAAGTTTTTCCCGAAGTTTGAAAAATTTCTCCTCATAAGGTACAAGACGGAACACCATCTTGTACATCAGAGCAGAGATTTTCGGATACGACAAAATAACAGGGACTTGTAACCCGCTTTTTTAACGTTTCGGCATACTCAAACTTGCAAGGTCCGAATCTGATACTTTTAAAAAATCGGTACTGGCAGTCTTCTAACTGATCAATCAGTAGCTTATGTTGGCAGAAAGCTACGGAACTGCCATAATCGGCTATCGGTTTAACAAGGGAATCGTACAACTTCGTCCGAGCTGCACTGTTTTGATATGGAAACAGTGCGTTTAGGTAACGAATGCGTTTTTTTCATGCGGGTAGCTAGACTTTCGCTGTTACGTTTCCAGTTTAGATGTCGGTCTAGGTAGATACCTAGATACTTTGCATTGTCCAATACGGGGATATTTTCACTGTTTAACGTGTACACACTATCTGGCACTTTTATACGCTTTCTGGTGAATCTTACATGAGCGCTTTTCTTTGCATTGAAGTTTAGCTGGTGTTCAGCCGCATATCTAGAAACAATGTCTAAAGCTGATTGAAACACCTGCTCGTCTTGAGGAGACTCAACTTTTTTTAGAAGGCATACATCATCAGCGAAAACAAATAATTCACAGTCTTCTGGTAGATCCGGAATATCGTTCATGACACACAGATACATCTGAGGGCCTACCATCGACCCTTGTGGAACGCCGCTTGTTACTTCTCGAAGAGAAGACAGTTTACCGTTTACATTCACTGCCTGAAAACGACCTTGCAAATAGTCACTCAAAAGTTCCACGAGAGCTTCGTTTAAGTTCAGTTCACGAAGTTTGGTTATCACGGTGGAGTGGTCAACACGATCAAAAGCTTTACTGCAGTCTAGAAAACACAGTCAACATCTATACCACAGTCAATAAAGTTCATGACCTTTGCACAAGGATTTGATTTAGCAGTTCGGGTGAATGTTTTTACGATAACCAAATTGGAAGCTGCGAATAAGATTGTTAGATGTTAGATGATTCGTTAATCTACCGTTAATTATTCGCTCGAAAACTTTAGATAACGGATGAAGACAGCTAACTGGCCTCCAGTTTTGGGTATCGTGAGATCACAGGACTGTTTTGGTACGGGGGTAACATAAGAAATTTTCCAACTGTTCGGAAATCGTCGTTCAGATATGCAACAATTGAACAAAATTTTAAGGGGAACAATTATTGCCGAACCACAGGTTCTAATGAGATGATTTGTCACAGTAAACGGTCCGCTACTTTTCGAAAGATCGACTGCTTTTAACGCTTCCCAGATGTCACATTCATTGACGAAATTTTCATTTGGTCCAGATTTCTTGCCCAACGCTGATGACAGACGGCAGTGTGACGGACACGGTAAAAGAGAGTCAAAATAGTGTGCGTTCAAAACTTCCGCTTTCTCTTCGTCGGTTATAGCAACTTTACCATCATGGTGCAGAATTGGCATGCCCTGTTTATCGACGCTTTTTCGTACATAAGACCAAAACTTTTTCGGGTCACTTCTGGAGGCTGTAGCAACATCCTGTAGTTGTCGATTCATAAACTTTCTCGTCATTAAATCACACTTCTTAGCATAGCTTTTCCAAGCTATTTTCAGTTTTTCCTTTCGCTCACCGACACCCGCCCTAACGTAACGCCTGTGTGCAGTATCTCTCGTTCTGATAGCTCGCTTTAGCGCAACAGGAAACGATATCGCGAATCGCTTCGGCTTTAGTTTTATTCTTTCAAAAAATGCCATAGCTTTGGTGACAATAACTTCCTCGATTTTGTCAGCCATTTCTGAAGAATTCATATTTTTTAATTCAATATTCCAGTTAGTTTGAAAAAGGTCATTTCGATAATTTGGGATATTTTCGGGCAGAAATTTCCACACAACTTTTTCTGGCTGCTTAAAAATGGATTTTGGAAGCAGAGCAACTATGGAGACGGCATGATGGTCATTTGTACTTGATGGCGGGCTTACCACATTTACAGCCTCAATATACCAGTTTGTTGGTACAATCGCTAAATCAAGAATGTTGCTATTTCTGGTAGGAATCGTAACAATCTGCTTGAAGTTACACTCTTTTAAAAGTTTCAGCAGACACTGACCGTGGAAAGTAGTTGACGTCAATTGCTGCCAATTAATTTTCGGGCAGTTAAAATCCCCGAGTAAGACAAACCGGCTTACATCGTTTTCGCAAAATTTTTCACTAATATGCTCCACAAACCGTGGTAACACTTCAGCAATCATATCAGGTGACCCATAAAATACGCCAACAATAATGTTGAATGTACTTATCTCAACCGCTACGAACTCAAAATTGTCACTTTCAAGGTCGGTCCTTCTTTTCCCGCCTAATTTTTTGTTTGTTACCAGTGCTACACCACCACCAGATTTACCGAGTCGCACTCGACGGAAAACTTCGAAAGATCGCCCATTCCGGAACAATTTATCCGGCAAACCTGCTCTGTCTTTTGTCTCCGTTAGTCCAATAATATCGTACCCAACACTAAAAGCTTTCACTTCCGCCGATTTTGAAGAAATACCGTTTATATTACACAACTTTATCAAAATTTTAGATTTCTGTTTTTTACTGCCACAGTTATTCATTTTAGATTTCATTTGTTTCAGTTTAAATTGTTC